GGTCGCTTCATGTTGATCCCTTCATAATTTTCTCCTTTTGAGGTATTTTGTGGCGTATACTCACATCATAGGTAATCTAAAATTAATTTCTCGATTATCATGATTATCATTTTATGTAAGTGTAACTCTTATAAAATTTAAGTGGATTTATGGCTCTGTATATGCACTAAAATTTTTATTTCTTAAATTTGCTTCGATTGTGCTGTAATATGCGACACGCGTTATGGCACCCTTGATATTCATCAAAAACAAAGATTAGTTGTTATATGCTATTTCACTATACATTTTCGAAAAAAATCTAATGGGCAAAATATCGAAGGATAGAACCTTTAGTCCATTTAAATTTACGAGAGTATTTTACCTTAAATATCCATCATTTTTCTTCTCGTCCTAGCTAGAGATTTAGTTGAAGAGGAGAATGGAGGGCATCCGTAGAAAGTGATTAATTGAATTGAACGGTTCAAATATAAGCATTCAATAGGATCATCTCATTGATTGGATTTCAAAATCTACTTTCTGTTGGCCTTCTTGTTTTGATGATGTTTAACAAACAATTTACTTCTAATGTTGTTTGTCTAGTATTTGTGTTTTCTTATTTATTGTAGACAAACAACGTAGTTGGAGGATGGATGGAATAGAGCTTCAACGATCATATCCAAAGGAGGTTGGCGGAATGTCGGTGAAGCCTTGCAATTCACAGTTCAAGATCCAAGTTCAAGCTTCATCCGTGAGATTACCAAGTCAAGCTTATTGAAGATCAAGATCATTGCTTGGGTAATTTAGTTTAGGAATTTATATTATGTGTGTTAGTACTTTAAGCTCAATCATATACACACATACACGTTTTGGTTTTTGTATATATATAGTTATATATATACATATATGTTTTGGTTTGATAGTTTTCAAGTTTTACTATGAAACAATTGAATATAATTTGAAAACATATTTTTGTTTCATACTCGTATGCATATATATGATTTCATCAATATCAATTTTAGTTAGTTAAATGAAATCATGTTTTAGTGCATTATATGTGTATTTTGATAAAATACTACATTCATCGTTTATAGACTTCATAACAATAGTTTACATCTTTCTTCAAGTCTATAAAATCATTTTGTTAAGTTTCAAAAGTTGGTTTAGCCAAAATGTCAAAATTCACATGTTTACATTTTCGTGTTTTGGACTATTTTGTAAAATGATGATATTTTTCATTTGGGAAGTCCTTTTTCGAAACCAGTCATTGTAGCATGTTTATTATCATGTCTACAATCATTCCCCAAAGTTTTACATTTTTTGGAATTTATTTGATATTTTTAAACAGCATTTCAAAATCAGATAAACAGTTTTCATATCAGTTTTCGGTCGACCGCACCGGTCGACCGAACCTGAGGTCAAAAGTTCACTGGGCTGACAGATAGCTGTCGCGACAATAAATCCGTTGCACTCCAACGGCTATTTTCTGAGCTGATTTTTCTGGGGCTTTTTGGACTTTTGCTTGGGGTTTTGGCTGAGTTTTGGAGTGGGTATAAATACCCCATTGCTGTCATCTTTCAATATATAAGAGAATGGTTTAAAAGATTTTAACAAGGGTTTAAACTTGTTTAATGTTTGTTTAAGTTTGTTTTAAGAAGCTTTTAAGCAATTGAGTGTTTCGATTTTGTGATTCAATTCAACAAGAGCTTGAGGAGATCATCTATTGGTGTTTGGGCATCCAACTCTTCTCCCTCCAACTCTTGATATATTGAGAAGTTTTCTAAACTCTATTTCTAGCTATTTTATATATTTGATTATCATTGTTATTTAGCTAGAACTACATTGAGTTTAGTTTTGATTTATATCTCTTTGTTCACACACAACCTTTTGAGCTTATAGACACGGCTAGGTCCAACACTTAGTGGGTGTAGAGTGTGATTGCAAGAGTGTGAGTTGTAGAGTTTTCGGTTAGCTAGAAAACCGAGTGTGTAGAAGAAGTTCCGGCTTCCAAACCGGATTGTGTTAGTGGATTTCTCCCCGGGAGTGGGGAGCGGAGACGTAGGACGGAAGGTCCGAACTCCGTGATCATATTGCTTGTTTGAGTGTGCTTTGGCGTTCATTCATATTTATGTTCATATCTTATATCGCCATTGTCATTAGCTCATTATCTATATCATCCACTATCTAGTTCATATTGTTTACCCTTGTGTTAGTTTATATATCCTTGCATATATATCTCATCATATAGGATATATCTTATTGTTCACATTGCTTATCCTAGCTTACAAATATTGTTGTATTTCATACTTGCTAGGATAACTTATTAATTAATTTTAATTGGCATTTAATCGGATTAGATTAGCATAAGACCCTAATCACCCCCCTCTAGGGTCTAACACTTTCCCCCCACTTTTTAAGAGGATTTTAATGTGTATTATTTTGTAACTATACTTAAATTTACAAGTCATATTCAAGTTGAATCAATGGATGAAGACCCATTTGTACTATAGGAGAGGGTAGCAATTTCCTAGAAATTTTAACAAATTTTATATTACTTAATGGTGAAAAATAAATCAATTTGTTAAATCTAATAACTTAAAAATCTCATCAACATTCTCCAAACCCTAGTCCTAACCCTAACCCTAACCCTAACCCATACATTAATTAGTCAACTTGATAACTTCAAACAAAATTCATAATCAATTAATAGATTGTAATCAAATAACAACTTTTTACTAATTCGGTTTCGATTTGTAGTTTTTCCATAATGAGAACACTTTTGAATGATTAAGAGCAATTTGGTAGAGTGGAAATAGAGCCGCAAAGTAAATACTACACCAATTTGATGGGGGATAAACCCTGTATCTTTCCAAATGAAAAAAAAAATAATAAAATAAAGTACCCACTACCTTATCAAAAATAGGGAGAAATTTTTAAAATAGACCCTTTCACAAAAGTAATTAGCATTTGCGACACGTTCTCAAAATATTTATCAAAATCAATTTAGTTTCAGCCACATCAATATAATGCATTGAAACTAGGTCAATTTTGAAAAAAATAGTTTACAAACTCTATGGGATTGCCAATCTCATAGAGTTTACTTTTATACAAAACTCTATGCGATTGGCAATCTCATAGAATTTTACTCTACCGCAAAGTGCAACTTTGTGCCTGTCACATCACTTGTTACATATACACTGCAGCCGCATTTAAATAAAGATCAATATCATCCAAAATATACACAATATAAGAATATAAAAAAATCATAAAATCAGTATATCACTTATATTAATCCAACCACAATCTAAAAAACACACAATCCAAATATAGTACATAATTCAAATTTCATATCATACATAGTCCAAATATGAAATAAAGTCACATATATCCAAGCATGTGTCCCTCCTTCCTCTCACTCTCTTACACTTTCCCCATCCTCAAGGTCGTCCTCGATGTCCAGCACGAGCCTCAATGATCTCACTATCCAGCTATGTATGTGGCTGTGTTGATGGTGCTGGTGCATGTGGATCCCCCTCCCCAAATTGACCATAGTGAGAAGTGCCAGCTCGATTATCAAGCACATGGTTGGTAGTGTTAGCTTCATCATCAGGAGCAGTAGAAGATCTCGCCCTACGTCTTTGTCTCTCATACAATCTTCATGTGTTGATGCATTCTATCCTTACGCCCTTCATGATCGTTGACGTGATTCATATGGAAGACCATGGCTATCCTCTGTCTGATCTAGTTAAACACTGATAATGATTTTGGATCATTAATATCACAATACTCTCATTTATATGCTCTTCAATCTCATCAAATAATGATATTTATATTTTGGATAAAAGATAGACAACTTATCAAATCATATGAATTCAAAAAAGTAAATTTTTTTAATTGAGTTAAAAATTTTACATAATCTCTCTCGATTATTCCCCTAGGCATGTAACTATCTAGTGCTGGACGTGGTGCGAGTCTAGCTTCTGGGTAATTGTCTGGTAATATCCATCTATGTGTGATATCAAATACCAACACATATGCTCTCTATACTGTATTCTGAAGTTATATTGCATGTTGCATGCCATTTCATCTCTTTATGTAGGCTTCATACTCTCTCTCGCAATCTATATGATATAACACCCATTGTCGCACTTGCTTCGTTATCTTAACAGGATCAGACATATGCTATGATAAATGAAACTGCTGCAAGAGCACATGCATCTCTACAATCTTAAAACAAGCTAACGATTATTTGGCCCTTAATATGTTAGCATCCTCTCTGCAAATTGGTGCAAGGGCGGGAATATATGGCATCTATTTGAACTGAAAATAATCATAACCACAAACAACATGAATATGATATACGATAGGATTGTAATATAAACTTTGTAATGACTAGGAGAAAATTGAACATGTTTGTGTTGCATGATGTACAACTCATTTCTATAAAAATTTATGTATCCGGCCAAATTTCATAATTTGATCTCTTCACATTCCACCTGTGGAAGCTGACCATCTAGATTGTGTGTCATCTATAAAGTAGGTCAACCAATAAATATGTGATCCTACGATAAAATCCATAGTAATGTAATGCATTCCTTGAACTCCTTATTCTCCAACAAGGATGCCTTTGCCAGATCAATGTAAAGGTAATGCCAACACTGAACTACCTTACAAAAGAGTGACACACACCTCTAAGTCCTCAAGAAGGGGCGACCATCAACAATGTACATGGCCTTTGCTCGTAGCTGGAAATAGCATAGCATCTATCATGTACAACATATAATCACGGGCAAATTATCGAATAGCATCCTCCCTGGCATCAGTAGGTAATAGTCCTTGAAACATATAGTGAAGCTCTCCAAGCTTAACCGCACCACTATGAAGATCAAGAATAACACCTAGTAACCCTAACATACATTCTCCCAATGGTGGTCATCAGTGCTCGTAATAGTTGGACCATCTGTTAGGTAATTTTAGTATCTCCGTGTACTTCGGTCTCCGCAAC